TCTTAGAAAGCAAACCATCTTTGAAAGCAAAGATCAGCCTCTGGCGTGACATTTCTCTACAGACGACAGGAACAATGTTAGTGGTCTGAAACTTAGCGTGAACAAGAACAAAACAAAGTATTTATTAAAGAAAATTTTTGTTTATTTTGGTGAAGAGATCATTTATTTATGTGTAAATTTTGTTTAATTTAGTAGCATATTAAGTTTGAAAAGAGAAAATTGAGGTGTGTAATTTTCAAAAAACTCTTTTTTTTACTATTATATTGAGGTTAATTTTGTTACAAAAATTTTGGACCTATTCACAGACGTTTGGCCACATAAATAACCCCAAGATAATCAAAATTTCAAAATTTCAAATCAAGCAAAGGCAAGCAATGCAGGTTGCGTAGTATGTCTTTAGGTATCGTCCGTTGATTGGTAGCATGAGTCTTTCACCTCGGAAGTCCACTAATTGGTAGGCTCCTAATGGATAAACCTTTTCAACGACGATTGGTCCCACCCAAGTTGGCTCAAATTTCTCAGCTATCTTGCGACATGCAAGAATATGCCTTTTGAGCACAAGTACAAGGTCACCAACTTTGAATGTCCTTGAGAAAAATAATTTGTCATGAGTTTGTACCATCTTTGCCTGGTAAAGTTCCAGATGTTGTTGTACTTCAAATCGTTTTCCTTCCAGACTCTCCAGTTCCTCAAGCTTGAGCTTTGTACTTTCTTCTGTTGTTAGTTGGTTGGCGACAATAACTCTGAGAGACGACATCTAAGACGACATCTAAATTTCTAATGGTAGCACGACCTCAGATTTGTACATGAGCATGTAGGGTGTACATTGAGTGGGAGTCTTGAACGTCGTCCGGTAGGCCCATAAAGCTTCTAGCAATTTGTTGTGCCAATCCCTTTTGTTTTCCTCTAATATTTTCTTCAAAATCTATACCAGTATTTTGTTGAAGGCTTCAGCCAATCCATTTACTCTGGGACAGTAAATTGTAGAGTATCTCCAATCTATCCCATGACTTTTGACGAAATTGTTGATTTTGGTGCTTTTGAAGGCTGGCTCATTGTCTGAAGCTCATTGTCTGAAATTATTCTTCGCGGTACTCCGAAACGGTAGACTATTTGGCTTTTGAAGAACTGAAGAACATCTAAAGGACATGCTGTGTCGTAACCTCTCGTAATGGCACGCGGCACTGCCTCTGTCCATTTGGAGAATTAATCTGTAGGGGCAAGTATGAACCTATGTCCTTTGGAAGTTGGAGGGTCTATCTGACCTATTATGTTCGTGTCCCAACACTCGAATGGTTACGAAGCAACAGTTGGGTGTAGCACATTCAAAGTTTGGTGCAAAAACACCCCATGCACTTGACACTGGTGACATTTTCTGGCTGTATCCATGCAATCGGACATCATTGCTGACCAATAATATCCGAGTCTTTTGATTTTCATTTTAATCTTCGGTCCCGACTGGTGAGCGCCACATAATCTGACATGTACTTCTTTGACAATATTTCATGCTTCGACTTTGCTTAGGCATCGTAGCCATATCTGGTCAAATGATATTCTGTAGAGAGCATCACCAACCAAGGCGTATGACATAGCCCTTTTTGTAATGTGATGTGCCTTAGACTTATCTTCAAACAACTTTCCAGTATGAAAATATTCTATTAATGGCTTGCGCCAATTTTCATTGATATCTGCAACTGCAATCGTTGTTTCTTCTTTTCCGAGCTTGTGTAGAATTTTGAGGTCGATTCGAGACAAAACTTATCTTCCTTGTACTGAGATTGCGATGGAATCCTGTGAGGGACACACCAGTTTTTAGCAAGTTTTGCTAGAGCGTCAACAGGGGCTTTATCTCCACTAGGAATCCGGTAAAAAGTCACGTAGGAGATTTGCTCTAGTAGCTTCATCATGTATTGGTGATATTCTATTAGTCTTGGTTTCATAATTTTGTATTGTCCACCGACTTTTTGGATGATGAGTTGAAAATCACCGTAGATGGCAATGTTTGTTATATCTATTGAGATTGTCAACTCCAATCTAGTGATTAAGGATTCATATTCTACTTCGTTGTTGGTGCACAGCTCTGTCAGGTGGTATGAGAACCTCAACATACCCTTATCTGACATGATAAAGATCAAACCAATTCTTGCTTTTCCTGGTATGACTATGCCTGATCCTTTGTCTTTTCTGGCTGATGAAGCACTGTCAAAGTACATCTCTCAGTGTTGCGCACTGGAGATTTCCATTTATAACACTTTCTCATCTGGTAGTTCATCGTCAAGAGGGGACCCAGCTGGCAGTGGGTGTGCAACAAGAAAGTCTGCTAGAATCTGTCCCTTAATAGCACGGAGGGGAACCGGAGGGGAACAAAATTGAAATAAGATCATCGACCATCTTGCTAGACATCATCATCGACCATCTTGCTAGACATCTTGCTAGACGTTCAGAGAGTGTTGGTCGGGTCATCAAATATTACGTTAACTTTTGAAATGAAATTAGGGTAATTTTATGAGAGAGCATGTGATGTCTAAGTTTTTGGGCAGCGAAAATTAACACCAGACAATGCTTCTGAATAGGTGGATACCTCACTTCCGTCATTATCAAACAATGACTCAAGTAGTAGAGTGTGTTTTCCTTAC